AGTGTATTTATCAATTGATCAAATATTATATCAATGGATGTCATATTTCCTGTATTTAATTTGCTTTCTCTCCTTTTTTACGTTTTCATATCTATACAGGAAAATCGGCCTTAACTGTACAGTTTGTCTCAGGATGTTTCATAGAGAAATATGATCCAACAGTAGAAGATTTTTATAGGAAAGAAATTGAAGTGAGTAGCTGAACGATTTTTTAAATATTGATATCGGGTAATTTGATACTCTCGGTGTGTGTGCTTGCTGGCATTTAAAAATGGACTACAGGAATTGATAACTCTGTTTATATACAGAAGTATGACTCATACATAGTTTTTGAATTAAAATTTAAATGTTTACTTTTCATGACGTTCATCGAAATTTGTGATTTTTTGAGCATGCCTTTCCCCATTCTCAGTTGGTTTTTGATGAGAGTCAAGAGACTCGAAACCCTATTAGACATCACTAATGAACACCCCCTTATTCGAATCGCCGAAATAATAACACACAGAACACATGTTGTAGCATTTGAATAATAAACTGTATCACATCAGATAAATATGACTAACATGAGAACTATAGTTTTTTTTAATCCACAGAAAGTTTTATGACATCATTTAAATGAACCGCAAAAAGATTGTAGCTTGTGATTCTTTTACTTTTAGAGTTCTCTTGATTTCTCTTCATTTTAGTCTGATTGATTGATAAAAGTCGTGTGTTACGTACAGTTTTGATGATTAATTATGACACTGACCACTTTTAATCAACAAGATTCACATTTTGTTATTCGCCCTTCACTCGCACATGCTCTGCGGTTTTTCTTATTTATTTGAATTACTGTATGAATCATCTATTTTAAGTGTAATTAATCAGTTCCTACATACACAAGCAAGCAATGTAGTTTCTCTCGAATTTTAAATCTTTCGCGATTCAATCGTAAATTTCAATTACGTCATTTATAATCTTATTAATTAATTAACACTTTCACAGGTCGATAATTCACCATGCGTGTTGGAGATTTTGGATACAGCTGGTACTGAGCAATTTGCCTCCATGCGCGATCTCTATATTAAGAATGGACACGGTTTTATTGTTATGTATTCACTCACAAATCACCAGACGTTTCAAGACATAACGACAATGAGGAACGTAATACATCGAGTAAAGGGAGGACAGCCAACTCCCATCTTACTAGTCGCCAATAAACTCGATCTAGAATGCCAAAGAGAAGTGTCAACAGAAGAAGGTGTGAATTCATAGCCAATTTCTTTATAGACATAAGTAAAATGCTCAAAATTTTATCATTTTAGGTCACGCACTAGCTGAAATGTGGGGATGTCCATTTATCGAAGCTTCCGCCAAAAGTCGAATAAACGTGAATGAAGTTTTTGCGATAATTGTTCGTGAAATGAATATGATGAGTGAAAAACGACAGAAGAAATCGTTTTGTTGTTGTTTATAGGGAAACGCGTCACATTAAGTTCTTTGTCAACACTTCACGATAATCTTTCTCTTCAATTTCTCTCGTTTACGAGGCATCGCGCTTGAGTGGCACAATTAAGTTAAGTGATTAAGTAATTTGGAAATTTCACATAGTAATTTTAGTTTAAAAAGATATTTGCAGCTATTTTTATGAGTTTGAAGAGATGATAAGATGGTCTTTGTGAAGATTTGATAAAATTTTTAATCTTATGATTTAATAATTTTAAGTCAAGGTTCAAAAAATTTATCCCACAACAATTGAAATTCATAAAAAAATGATGCAGCGTGTTTAAAATTAGGCAATGAAAAGTCAATGACCACTGGACAAATAGCCTACAATCAGTGTTATTGTAGTTGATAACAAGTTCAAGTAGGAAATTATAAACTGCCGAAATCATGTTTTTCAGAAGCGAAGTAGTCAGTAATAAGTTTGTGTCACTCATGGGAATTTCCTCTAAGCGTTAGATTTGAAAATTGAGGAATTCTTGATGTAAGAATATTCCATAATTTTTTATATGTCTGTATCATACACAAACAAAATACATTTCAAGACGGAGCTGTTATTTGGATTTAAAGTTGAGGTAGAATCAAAGTAAAATGTCAAACATGGCTTTTATCGAAAATTCTCAAAGAAATCGAAATGACAGCTCTGTCGAAAAACAAAAAGTTACACCTTAATGAGACGCCATCAAGATTTACTTACAATTTAAGTATAAATAAAATTTATACATTAATTTTAGCTTATATTCTTCAATTTAAAAAGATGAAAAAAATCACAAGAAAAAGAAAATATTGGAAATCTGTGGAACACAAAGAATGAAATATTCCATCATAATTTCTTAGTTATGTCTTCGAAACATGGCCATAATTATTATTTGATTATAATTTTATTACGTTTTTAGCATGTTAGCCTTCTTCATTCATTTCATGCTTTCTATCGCATTTAAAGTGCTAGCAAAGTTTTATTGCTTAACATTATTTTTTGTTTGTAAACTTTTGTATTTTTTCTAGTTTTAAATTTAAGGGGGAAGCAGGCAACTGTCCATAGACAAATAGATTTGAGCTATCGAAAATAAAAAAGTTTAAATAATTCAATTTAAGTTCCACTAATCAAGTCAAATGAAATTGAAATTCTCAACAATTATTTCCAAGCAGAAGAATTTTAATAGCAAATCCGAAAAGAATTTTTTGATTAATTTCTGTTAAAATTAATTTTAAAGATGAGAAATGGAAGAAAGTGAAAATTGACACGAAAATTTAAAAAAAATCCCGCAATTGTCTGTGCTTTGCATGATTTAAAAATTACAGAAGCAATAACAATAAGTTTTAATGTAGGTCATGATCAAAATAAAATATTTAAAGTTCGCGATAGCATACAATTTCTTCTTGAGTAATGATTACTGCCTATAAAGGTCATGAAAATTCCACAACAATAACACTAGATTGTATTTTCACACGATTTTTGGGCAATTTATTTCGAAATACACGTGTATGTGATAATGTTGTCATTTTTATTTCAAAATCGTGTGCATGCAACGATTCTTTTTCGTCCTTATTCTGGTTTGGTAATCATCGCGTGTCAATTTTCACATATTATGGTTTGAAAAATTAGTTTTGCTGGAAGTCTATCAAGCCATTGAAAAAAAAATTGTCAAAATTTCATTATCATATTTTGTTATACATCATTTACGAATGCCTATATATGTCATTATTCTTTAATTAAAAGAAATCTTCCACCATATTTCCATATTCAGTTGGTAGCTTCCAAAATGCGAAAAATCAGTTTAATTAAAATTATGATTATTTCTCTTAAATATGGTAAAAATTTGATTTGCTTTCCATAATCTTCATAACATAACAAATTTCACTTTCAATCAAATCATCAACCTGTCTTTCCCCCCAACAAAAAAAAAAAATTAAAATAAAATGTATAAGCATGAAAAAAATGTGACTATAATTTAAATTCATTAAAAAAGAAAAAGATGATAAATTTTTAAGAAGAAAAAAAAATATCGAACAATAACCATTAATTAATAATTTATTATGCTGTAAGTGAAATATGTGCAGAATTAAGAGAATGAATGATTTTTTTTTTGTATAAAAATATATGATGATAAAAGTGAGAAGTCAGTCAATTTAATGAAAAAAATGAAAAAAAGATAGTTTTCAATGTAATTTCAAAATATTATAAATTTCATTAGATACACGGCAAACTGATTCTGTTCAGTTAATGATTTTGGAAAATTTAGGAGGTATGATCGAGTCTTTTGTTTGATGATTTGAATGAACTGCTTTAAATTTGTCTTTTGGAATAAAATTTGAGGGATTTTGGATGTAACAGGCACCTTTAATTAGCAATGAGAACCAGATTAAACCATAATCCATGGATTCAATTTAAATCTATAGATTTAACAACTTAAAATAAAAAGAAACTAATCAATTTTTTATCGTGGGAAATTAATCATTCATCGAGAATCGTGACAAATTAATTTGAATAACTTAGCAGTTTGTGGGATACATTTCAAGGCCGTAGTCTTCAAGGTCATGTTTGTTTTGAAATTTCCATGCACGTATATATTTTGTAATTTGATCTCAGCCAATTTCAATATTCGTGGTGATTAACCAAAACAATTGAAGCATGTAGTCATAATTATAAGATTTTGTGAATTCTTCGATTACCCTTACATCATTAGAGCAATCATGTAATAAGTCGGCAATTAAATTTTTCATAATGGCCTATTAAAGATTCCAAATTGATTGCAATTCTTACACAATTCATGTCTAATGTTTACAATCATTACGATTTATGACTTTAAGAGCTATGAAGTCATGAAATTTTCTGTGGTTCTTGATTTAATTAAGCACAAAAAATGTTTGTTTTGAATAATAATTCGATGATTGTGGTTCTTAAAGCTACTTAATGGCAATAATGGCAATCAAATCGCTCGTCTACAAGTAATTAAATTTATAGCTTTTTTGACTCAATACCCTCAAGTAGCTTTTTTCAACCTTTTGAGACATTTTAGAGTTTGTTTGCTCTTCAGAGCATTTAATTTTCAACTGATAAAATCCTGCAAAATTCATTCCAAATGACAAAAACTTAATTGCACTTCCTTAGATTTTTATATGAAAGAAGATTAGATACGAAAACAGAGAGATCAATTAAGAAGCCAAGAAAGAAGATGTAGCTTATATGTTTTTGATAAATATATAGAATGAGAGAGAAAAGAAGAGAATTTTAACTATATTGATGAGAATTTTTGATACGAGACTCCTGAGTTGTCTTTAAGGAGATGGCAGTTATTTGGATGCTCGTTGTGTAGCTACTTTTATGCTTTTTCAATCTGCTGACAGATTTACAAAAATTCACCTAAATTATCATGTAGCAGCCATGAGATTGTATTTCATTTAAAGAACAGCTCGGGTTTGAAAAAAGGACGGAAAAATGTAAATTATACTCAATGAAAATAAAATCCAAATAAAAACACATGAATGTGCAAAACTGGAAAGAAAAAAAAAGATAATTAAATTAACAAAAACTTTTTATTCATCCATATCCATCATCATTTCAGTTGCTTGAATTAAATATTTCTTATAAATGCTCATGAAATGTGCAACAAATGCTTCGAGATGATAAATTTGCTTGCTTCCCATTTGCATTCGGAATTCGTAGAGGCTAGCAAACTCATAAATTTGAGATTTTACTTCCACTTCGCATTTTTTTGACAGGACTTGAACGAGAACTTTGAAAATGATGTCTGGTGGAATTCCTTGAGACAGCAGCTCATAAAGACGATCACGAACTTTTTCAAGACGTGCTGGCGATTGTTCCATTAAAATTTGATTTGCAGTTTCGTTAAGGAATCGTTGCCAGTCGATTTCTGGTACATCTTGATTATTTGTAAACGGATATTTTTGGACTTTACATGCTTCTAACATTAAGATTGCTCGACGTAAGTTTCTTTCCGATTTTGATGCAATGTTTCGAGCAAGCTCAGCAGGCAGTTTCAAGTTTTCCTTTTGACAGATTTGCTGTAAAAATCCATAAAATTATGAATAAATTATTAATTTAATATATTTCATAATCCAGTGCTTACATTAAGAATTCCAATAATTTCCTCATGTGTGGGAGACGCAACTCGTATTCCAAGGCAACGACTCTTTATGGCTGGAATGACACGAGATGTCGAATTAACACACAAAATCAATCGACATGTAGCAACATATTTCTCCATCGTTCTTCTCAGCGCATGCTGTGCATCTTTCGTAAGATCATCAACCTCTGTAAGCACAATAACTTTAAAATCTCGCTGTCCATTCGTATCAATGATGTTTGTTTGTGCTATTTGTTTAATTATATCAGTGATAACTACTCGATCGTAGATGCCTGCATCAGATGGATTCACTGGAAGTAAAATGCCATTTTTAAAGCTGTTTAAGTTTCAATAAAACTTATGTCTACTTACACTCAATATGGTAATTACTGGATACAGTCGTTATTTCAATTTTGCGATTTGATGGTGTAGTAAAATTCATAGTCTCATTTCTTAAACGCTCAGCACTTGGTCCATAAAGTTCTCGAAGGACACACTGGATTCTTGTCTTTTTGCCGGCACCGGAACATCCGAAAAACATTAAATGTGGAAAATCTTGCTGTTCACATAATCTTTTTAAATCAATCGCTTGTTGTTTATGATAATCTAGTTTTGATAACTCTTTTGGACGATACTTATCAACCCATAAAGCCATTATTAATGATTTTAACTTCACTGGATCTTTTTGTTGTTTTTCCCGCCAAGATTTTATATTCCGAAATTTTAATTTTCGAGTTAATTGCAGTTAAATTAAGAAACTGTCATAAAAATCTATATTCACTTTATGTTGTTAACTATCTTGAGTATTTATTATGAAATGTATGTTGTTTAAACTAATAGAAAACTTAATTTTATTTCACAAACTGTATTTATTTATAAAAGTATGCGAAAAGTATACGTTTACATAAATTCAAATGAAAACAAACCGTTAAATTTATGTTGTTTATTTTATGGTACCGATGTTTTTGACGAATTAGACATGAATTTTAGTGCTTGAGACTTCCTTCTTTAACATGCTAGACATGTGGAAGCAGAAAAAGTAAGCAATGAAGCATCCGAGCACTAAACCCGCAAAGACATCAGAATAGTGATGCTTAAAATCAGAAATTCGCTACGTTATTTGTCACTGAAATCGTTTATTACTAACTTTAAAAATTGAGAGAATGATGACTTGAGAGTAAACGAGTATTGGCACCAATTCATGATTCAAATCTTTCCATACCGATAGCTTAAGAAAAGTAAGAATTGTTTTCTTTTGCTTTTTAAGGATTCAAAATTGACCTTAGCCAGTATTTAAAGTCTATTCAATTTGCTTTGATTCTTGTTCTTTATTTGAATATTTTTAAAACATTAGAAGTGCCTGGATCAATTAGATATGTGTACTAGTTTCAATCACAATTTTCTTCTTAAACATATTTGAGACATAAAAGGAAACTGAAAAAGCAATGGAAAATCCAACAACAAACCCACCATATACATCTGAATGGAAGTGCTTGTAGTCTGAAATTCTTGATGATGCAATGTAAATGGTTCCTGTAATCAGGATGAGTTGGATTAATCGTTTTAACATTTTTGTTGCTCCTCTACACTTCATGCGAGATTCTAGGTAGAACTAGGTAAGAATTTGAACTAGTATAACTTCAAACATGTTAATCAAAAAACTCTCACCACACAAAAGAATGCAGTCATGACTGAAAAGCTTGTATGACCGGAAATAAATGACATGTGGATATCTCTCAGTGATTTATCCGTTGCATTAATGTTTGAACATGTGTAGTTTTCAATGTAACGATTTATATTTTGAGGATCATTACACGTACTTTCATCGGAGAGAATCGGCATGCAAAGCTTTTGAAAACAAAACAATAACATTCTCTTATCCTATTTCATACTTTAATAAGCTTTAAAAAAATATACTTACATCCATAAAATGAGGTCGTAATCTCCCAATTGTAAGTTTAATGCCTTCTTCAATACATCTCTCGATTGCTTCAGCAAACAAGAATATGCTTATGTAATGATATAAATTTTGAATGTGAGGAGTTATTGTCCAATCAAAGAATTTTGCTGTTTTTGAAGAACTGTTTGATGAGACATTCGTTTTGTGATATTTTGTCTCGACGATAATAATCTGTTATAACAAGGATACAATTAATTTTTTTAAGAAAATTATTATGATTTGGCATGATCCTCCATTTGAGCTTTAGCTACTCACAATCAAAATTCCACCAATTATACCCAAAATATCCATTAAAGTTCCTGGAACGGTGTCTTTTTTATAAGGAAACATCAAATTGTGATCATTGCAAAAGAATCCTCGCTTAAATGGTTCCACAAAAAACTTTAAAAACAATGCAAGACACACCGCTAAAATTTTAAAAGTTCTAGCTTCAATATTATCAAATTTAAACAGTAAATATGAATAGTCAAACTTACGGATCAAAATAACAATCGAATCAATCAAAAGTTTAAGCATTATTCTATCTGAAATTGCCATTTTTATTGGAGACCTTAACTGCTCAATGTTCTGACTCTCACTGCACAAAATATCACATAAAGCAAAAGCATCATCGATTGCCACGTGCCAATTGTACAAATAATATAAGGATATGGTCCTCGAATTCAATCATTGGTGTACTACAACTAATCTGAATTACTTAACATAATTAAAACAAATGAGGCGTATTTTTCAGTTTTCAAAAAAGGGGGAGCATATTTTGTTGGAAAAAAATTTGTTGGAACGGAAAATACAATGGCAAAAAATACTTTGCATCTAAGCCTTAAATTCTGCAAAAGAAAGAAATCTCAAAATCCTAATAAATTGAGCAAATAACAAGATTTTTATGAATATCATTTGGATACGAGATTTTGTCTTTCAGAAGGTCATATTTGTTTACAAATTGTTGAATGAAGATTGAATACTTGAACGTATAAAATCATAGATTTTCATTCATCCTCTCGTCTTGAAAACGCATAAACCTAGATGCAAACTTTATATTTCGGCTTCTGTAGCCTATCGTAATAAATCAAGTTTTTATTCATAGTTTAATCATTATTAAGTAGCTACTTTCAACACAATAGCAAATATCAGACTTCCTCATCACAACTTGTGTTGCTTTCTTTCTTGAAAAAGTCAGACACATGAAAACAGATGACGTAGGCAAGCAAACTTCCACCGATCACTCCAGTTGCTACGTCTGAATAAGAATGCTTGAAATCTGTTATACGTGTTAATGAAATGTAGATTGCTGTAGTAATTAAGACTAATTGAACACATTGCTTTAATACTTTCGATCCTTTATGCTTCAAACGACATTCCAAATAAAACTGCATGATAATTAATAAATATATAAATCTTCCAGACTAAAAGTAATTTATTCTTACCACACAGAACCATGCAGTGACAAATGAGTAGTTAGCGTGACCTGATGGGAAAGACATTCTTATCTCCCTTAAAGAACTCGTTGTTGCATCTTCATTCGAGCATTTGTAATCCAAAATATATTTCATGAAATTCTGTGGATCAGCACATGTTGTTCCATCAAGGAGAACTGGCTTGCAGTGCTGTTCAATCAGATTTTAATCATTCAAGAACTTATCCAATGTACATATTTATATTACTCACATCTATAAAATGCGGTCTTAACTTTCCAACTGTTAACTTAATTCCATCTGAAATGCATCGATTTACTGTCTCTAAAAGAAGCAATGAGGCATTAAACTTGTATAAATTCTGAATGAATGGAGGAATCTCCCAGCCAAGTAATTTTAAGGTTCTTGAGTTCTTGTCATAAGATGCATCACATTTAAGCAAAATTATCTCGACGATCACAATCTGTGAACGAAAAACCTTCATTAATAATTCTATTTCCAGTTTTTTTGCCAACTCACCAATAGCATAGCAGCTAATGTCCCATAATATTCCATTTCTGTTCCTGGAATTGTTTCATTCTTTTTATAAGGAAACATGATGCTAGGATCATTGCAGAAAAATCCTAAATGAAATGGCTGAATCCGGGTCTCAAAAATTGCAACAATAACTGCGGCTATATTCACAATATGATCTTAATGTTTTGATCTTAAGGACATGTAATTAAACTTACGTATAGCAATTATGATCGCATCAGCCAAAACCTTCAACATTATCTTGTCCACAAACATAATTTTGCAACTTAATCTTCACAACTTAAAATTCAGTTTCTTACTGATCCAAAGATACTTTTCATGATTATTACAATTCCATTTAAACGACCCGAATCAAACCAGTATTATCACGTAACAAAAATGATAAAAAAAATTCTTTTTATGAGATTTCGAAAGTCATTTTTAACAGGCTTCATAAGCATCACTGCGGGACAGCTGCAGAAATTCAGCATTTTTGATTTTAAATTAACATGATTATCATACACTATGTTGTGATGATCGAGAATTTTTTTCGAATAAAACAGGAATGAGACAATGACCTGCATCAATAATTTTTAAAGGTTTGCTAAAATTTGCGTACGAATTGTTGATTTTCTTGGCACATTTCAGTTTTAATTTTTCATCCTTTAATTCTTTATTAGTATAACTTTATCTAGCATGATCCGAAGGCTTAATTATGGACTGTAAAGACAGGATCTCAAATGCCTTTTAGGTATTAAAATATGTTTATTAAATTTATTGTCTGTAAATTTTTAAACACATCATCAAATTCCACAGATAATTCCAAATTCGATTCTTCACAAAATAATATTTACCCTGTTTTTTCGTTATAAGCTACTACTCGTTACTAAGCTACTAGCTAAGTAAAGTTTTTTTGAACTTGAAAATTTTTTGTACTCTTTACTAAGCTACTACCAAAAGTAAAGTTTAACTAATCTTTTTCAATTTTCTAAGTATCAGTTTCAATGCTTTATGACATTGTCAATGAAATGAAATCGAGAAGATAGCAAAATTTCTTTAATTAAGTTAAAAAATTCAAAATTTTCATTAAAGTTCAATTTCTTTACTAAGCTACTACTCGTTACTAAGCTACTAGTGATCCAAAAAAATTACTTTTTTATTCTTCTAAGCTACTAGCTTATAACGAAAAAACAGGGTAAGTTAAAGCACAAAACTTATATCACTAGAATGCACGTTCAGCATGTAATCACAAAACAGTCTCAAACATCAGCGTCACTGTCAAAATATTTGTTCTTTTTAAAAAGCTTTGAAATGTGGAAGCACACGACATATGAAATCAAACTTCCGAGTATAAGACCAGCTAATACGTCTGTGTAGTGATGCTTGTAGTCCGAAATTCTCGATAATCCAGTATAAAGAGCACCACAGATGAAAAATAATTGAATGAAGTGCTTCAATAATTTAGACCCATTGTATCTCATGCGAGATTCCAAATAAAACTAAAAATTGGACGATAAAAGTATGATTAACTATAATACAATCAAAAAATTTATTTTGGACATTACCACACAATAAATTGCTGTGACAAATGCGAAGCTTGTGTGACCCGATGGGAATGATAATCTGCCGTTTTTCAAAGAGCTTTCTGGAGCACCACTAGTACACACAAAATCTCGAATATATCGATTATAATTTATTGAATTTTCACATGTAGTTCCGCCCGGGAATCTTGGTTGACAGAGCTGTTAATGAGTAGAATTTTCATAATTAATGTCATTTAAGAAAATATGGACTCTTTTCGCCATAAATGATTTTGTAGACTAATGAAAAAGTAATCTTTTCTGCTATAATTTTTATCATATTCTACTTATTAAGTGTAATCCAGGAACTTTAGATAAGGAACAACTTAACAATCAAATCTATGATTGGAGCATATTTGATAACACTAATAATGTAGAAATTATCTAAATTGCGAGCAATCAAAAAGCGTCACGAGTCAACACAAAGTGACTAAGTCAACATCTATTTAGGAATTTCTTCATGGATATTCCCAAGAACTGAATAAACTTGATTTTATGAGAAATGCAGAATGAGTCATTAAAAAGTTCTTCCTAAAGAAATATCTTACGTCTATAAAGTGAGGCCGCAATCTTCCAACTGCAAACTTGGTTCCGTCAGTAATAAATTGATTTATTGACATGGAAAACAAAAGAAAACCGATGAAGTGATAAAGATTTTGAATGTAAGGTGATATCTTCCATTTATAGACCATAATGCCGCGTGAATCACTTGTGTAGAATGTATCATTTGAAGCTTTAAGTATTGTCTCCACGATTATTATCTAGGAAGAGAGATTTTATTAGTGAGTCATGTAAAGCACGAGTGTGTTCGGTCTGGTTCATATGAGATAAGATTTTATCATTATTGATGGGTCCGTGGTTTAAATATTTCAAGTAGGGTTTATACGATTGATTACATCAATTAACCGAATTAACTTACTAGTAATACACCAAAAATCCCGCCCACCAAAGCTATAGTAAGTGTACTTATTGTATCATCTCTATAAGGATATCTAATATTCTCATCATCACAGAACAATCCTCTTTGGAATGGATCAACGTATAAATTCAGCATTAAAGCCGTAAATGCAGCTAAATTAATTATTTCCTAATTAGAATTAATTTCACTCAACTAAGATTCAGTTACTTACGAACTGCTAATAACAGGAAATCTATTCCTATCTTCAATATCCTATTCATTTTATTTAAACTATGGAAAAGAAAGTTAAATAATAAATATTTCGATCTGCACTGTTCAGTGTTTCGTTTTCAACTGACAAGTATTTCGCGTTTATCATGAATAAAAAAAATACTATAATATGTTTGATAAGATAATGATGACATATAAAACAGATGTGTATTTGGTTCAAAATTTCAAATTATACAAATACTTACCTTTGGAATGTGAGATTAGAATTTAGAGCTGTTCATTTAACTTAATCAGCATAGATTCTAGCTTTTATACATTTCTGCACATGAACTTTTTGGGGTTAATGCCATGTGTAATTCTATCCCTAGTCATGCTAAATTTTGTAATTGACGAATTAATACCAAATGTATATAAAATTAATTATTGCGATATCGATTTCCGTTCATGCCAGACGACATGTTCATTTCTTTCTTAATTAACGCTATTTGTGGACCCACTATCGCGAAAAGTTTATCGGCCTGTTTCACTAAAGTGGATTATCCTCGATTTCGGATTATCCACTTCAGTTTTTTGGAAATATCTCCAGATGCTTAAGGTTATTAAGAGATCTAATGTGTGATCTAGTTAGAGTATTTTGCTACTTAAATTAACATAAACTTAGAATTTTTATATCTTCACTAGTTTGAGAATTATAGCAAATATGGAAGATAATCTACTAGATTTGGCTAGAAAATTGAATAATTAATACTTCTTAACGAAAAGTAAAAGTTTAAAGTATACAGAAATTTCAGGCATAGTTCACTCTATTATATTCCAATATAAGAAATACCTCACCTCCCATTAAGTTTAAGATATTTACAAAAATTTGAAGTGGATAATCCGAAATCGAGGATAATCCACTTTAGTGAAACAGGCCGTATATGTTTTACAACTTACAATTATAAAAGTTCAGATAATTGAGCTGAAATAATACATTTATTGGAAAAATAAATTTGGATTTTTGAAAATTTTTAAATTCTGAAATGCTGAAAAATATCAAAAATATTTTGAATAATTTAAAATTTCATTTTAAAATAATTTTTATTGAAACATTTTTTCTTTGATTCACTTTTCTTTTTTCTTTAACATGCAATAATGAATTCATCATGTCCTTTTTATTTATCTTGAATCTAATTTTTTTTTTCATTAATTTTACGCATTTTTTTTCATGTAATAACTAGAAAATATAATTTATATTATAAATATTTATTCCTGAGATGCACACTACCACAAAAATGATGTCTTTCCAAATTTGAGGCAGCATGTAGCTCAGAATTCTTTCAGTTTTGTGAAGAAAATTTAGATTTTTCCGCTATTTAATTGTCTAAACTCATATTTTTTTGAAAATAATATTTCATATTTTTATATCAATTTTTAAACTCTAAGCAATTTTTTTAAAAAGAAATAATACAGAAAGAAAAGGAGGCAACACTTTTGAGGGCATTCCATTCATCTCCATTCAAAAATGCAGACTTTTGTATCGCAATTAAGAGATTCGTAAAAGTTCATATGAATCATAAATTAATGTAATTCACACATTTATTGGACATGAAAGGATGCTTTGTATTATTACAATCCTCCTATTCTGCTTTTGTTGTGTCTGGACTTAGAGTTGGAATATGGAATGCGAATTGATTGGGACAAAATTAAATTTAAGACTGCAAATTCAGTTAACTTTTTTTGAGACTTTAATTTTCCTGAAAAATCGTCAACTCGTTTATTCTTAACAGATAGAAGTCAACAGCTTTAGTTTCATAGTTGGATAAAGTAATAAAGTGAAACTTTCAGTCTATCTTCGTAACTTTATTGTCATAGACAGACTCCAACAAACCAACTCCGTCCAAACCTGACTGTGTGTGGGATGAATCATGGATTAAATTATGGTGTTTCCATCATTTTTAAACAGTAAAAAACTCTTTTTCTTTATCTGTGAATAATAAAAGTTCATATCTATTTATTAATTTTTTCATGACTACCTCAACGTGTGGATTATTTCTATGGTTTTCTTATTATCTTCTTCAATTTTTTGTTTTTTGCTGCTTTGCACAAAAACAATGTCAACCAACAGAAGAAAATGACTATAAAACTAGACATGAGCTGCGATTGTAAATAAAATATAAATTTCATCATCTAATCTTGTTGCAGGATTATTAACAGACAAAAATTTAGCATCAAATTATGACTATAAGGAAGCTACAGTAATAATAATAGTAATTATATTCGTTTCAATTGGTAAATATCATAAATCAGCTTGATTAGTTCCTCAAAATTGTCAGTCATTTCTAATTTCGCGATATGTCAAGTAAAGTTTTAGTTCTGGAAGAGATGAAAGGCAATTTTGACGAAACAATCAGTTTGTTTGTTGAAAGCTTAATGATGTTAATGTGAGTTGATTATTCATTTAGACTGTAACAACAAATTTGCTAGGAACTTTTCATGGATTGAATTTGAGATTGATTGACATTAATTCAATTTTATTCTTCTTTATCGACTTCCATTAACATCAAGTCTCTTTTTATGCTGTGATTACCTTGAAACTTATTAAATTAAATAGTACGAAATATTATATGAAAATTGTTGTAGTTCATAAGGACTTCTACAATCTCCATTCTAGAGTGGATCTGAATTTTAAACTTAATTAATATTTCCAATTCAAAGCTAGCACAAAATGATAAAATAAGATAAACATTTTCTAACAAAATTATATATCGATCCAGTCTACGAGAGCAACAGCATTTTGTATCCTTCGGATCTTGCCTGTATACATCCAAATTTTCACGCTTTTAAATCATTTTTACATAAAACGATTGAGTTTTACAATAAATTACAAATTAAAAAAATTTAGCAACTTCTCTTTCTCTCTCTTTCAATTCATTTATTTTAAGTAACTTAACTATCACTTCTTCTCAATTTATGCTGTGTTTTTTTATTCATTTCATATGTATCTGTGAATTGGAGCTAGATTTGATAGATATGTAATTTGAACTGAAATGTTTTCAGAAGGATTTAAATAACGCTCAATTTGAATTCAATAATCAGACAACAGTCAGAAATTTCCAAAAGGTCTGAAAACACTTCAAATGTTTTACTAGAAAACCTTAAAAAATTAAAATTTTAAATTTTGTATAATGAAATTTACTCAAACAAATTCTATCAAAAACCAGCACCAATTCCAAAACTTGACAAAAAATTAAAATGTATGAAAACTAAGGAAAGAATTCTCTTTGAAACTGCTACAAAGCACTTAAAAAGTTTAATTTTCCATTTCAGTTCCAATTCTCACAAATACTCTTTAAAATTTTCGTTGAGTCTACAGCATTTAAGGAACTGCAGAGTTATTAACTCAGAAATCTTGATAAGATAACAAAGCATATATGGGAGGTCAAAATAAATAATAATTCGTTGGATTTTGTTAACAAAAATTTTCTATTGATCTTTATATATAGGAACAGTAAATTTAAAATATAACATAATAATATTGTACATAAGAATGGTTTTTAAAGTCTGACGGCAAATGGCATCGATTCAATTAAAATTGCTGACTATAATTTGTTGCAGACACTGTCCAATAAATATGGAAAAAGTTCTCGCAAATTGTTAAAACTTTAATTGAAAAGTCCATAAAGCGTTTACAAACTTAAAACAAAAATCATGAATAAAACGGTAACGAGAACTAAAAACACGACCAGGATGGCAACATTTTGAAACAAAAAAGCACACATTCAATATGAGAACAACTTTTCACCTAGCAACTAAACTTAATTAACGTCTTATAATTGAAAATTATACATACAAAATTTGATTTTTTTCTTCTTCTTGTTTTTCCTTCTAATCCTGCCATAAATGATGATTTTTTAAGTTGGCAATGAGCCGATATTGATATTGCTTGTTTGCCAGGAAATGAGAGATTATCTAATTATAATTATTAATATTATTGATATTCTTATTGTTTTCTAATTGAAGGTATGTAATCTATGTACGAAAAAAGCACAGAGAAATAAATAAGTTTTTCATTTTAGGCAAATTTAGCGAATGGCTTAACTTCAATTTTACAGCTCCTTAGTTTCCATCAAAAAAGCCTTTTTCGCTTATAAACTTTAAACTAGATCAGAACATAGCGGAATTATGTCAAGGAACTGTGACGCATGTACAAACCGCTCATTCTGGCTTTTACAAAACTAAAACTTCTTAACAATTTAAAAAAAATTATTTTTCGTGACTCTCTCTCTCTCTCTCTCTCTCCCTCCGGTTGATAAAATATTGAGAATGTCCCGCGTTCAGTTCCTGTTTACATCCCATTGCATCATTTTTTGTTTGTTTGCACGATTAACATTGAATTGAATTTGATTTTAATTTATTTATTGTGCATCTCGTGATGCGACGGCAGCAACAAGTGCGGCTCCGCGACCTGAGCCGTCCTCTGACAGCATAATATCGAATGAAATGTGATCATGTACGAGGGTACGGATTTTTTCCATCATTAAGTCATGGAATCTAGGGTGGAAGCGATATACTGAACCGTCAACACCGACCTGAACAGAATTAAGGTACAAATTAGTGAGTAAATTCTTAATTTATCAAGTTGTAAAGTGACTTACAGTTACACTTGGCTCGTTCATTTTGTTAATTAGTGTGGCGATACCAGCAGACGATAAATGAGCAGCTCGACTTGAAATGCACTCACAGATATATCTAATATTTGCACAATCTTCGTCTGTGGCGTGGAAGATTCCAAGTTCCTCGAGTACGTCATAACAATTGAAAAATGATCCAGGACTGTCACCTTCGATTTCAGAAACGTATTTTGTGAAGAATTGGTATCGTTTAAAGAGCAAATCTGATCCTTGACCACCGAATAACAGTCCAGCTTTTGTAAATCTCACAAGAGCAAGTCTCACTAATTCACCCATGTACATTCCTGATATCATCTTCTCTACACTGTTGTTGATAAATGAATTAGATTATCTACTGAAGAACTAAAGGCATTTAGGAAACTTACGTTTGTTTGCCCTTATTTATGCTAAATTCGTCCATTTCACGATCATATTCCGTTCGGATGAAATCAAGTGCACCATTATCACCAAATGCACCCCATTCTGTATTAATCAAGACATGTGATTTGCCATTATCTGGTCCATCGTACAATTCTGCATTTTCAACACGTTCTACATAACAAGCATTACTTCCAGTACCTAGTGAATTGAAATTATGACATTAGTTGCTGCTTAAAAAAATAATTTAGATTCACTGCAAATTGTCTCAGTCAATTAATTTTCAAGTCATGCTAATTTCTCTCAAATTTTCTACTGTAATTAAATTAAACGAGATAGAGGATAAAAGATATTTCATTACCGACAATGACTCCAATTCTACAATCGTGGTTCTTCCAACCACAAGACATCAGTGTTCCTGTTGTGTCATTCAACACTGCACAAATTTCAATTTGTACATCCTTTATACGTTGATAATTCATTCAATTAATATTACGATATTTAATAAAAGTTTGTCAAGATGCAATAGTATTTTCAGTTGATGTGACGTAATTTATGTGTAAAGTGATTGATGTAAATTATAATTGAATTGTGTATGTGAAAAGAGAAGGAAATAGAGAAATACAAATCATAAATAAATTGAAATAACTTAAAGTAGAATAAACTAAAATACATTTTCCACAATTGTCAAAAAAATTCGATTGCGAAAAATGCGTTTAAAATTTTGATGCTGTTAGTATGTTTCAAATGCGCTAAAAAAAGGTTAATGTTTTCTGTAATGTGTTATGGACAAAAACATCAAGCATGCAGCATTGTATAATTTAGAAGCAAAACATTGATCCAGAATGAAAATAATATAGTGTAAAATTTTGCTGATTCTTAAAACTTAAAAATCATTGACTATTCTTAAAATGATTGTTGTGCATTCCGATTAATAGAAAAAATTTACAATATACAAAAAATATGACGAAACTAGACAGTAAGTTAGGAGAAAATGAATTGACTGATTATCCTCAAAAAAAAAATTATTTCCTTTTATGAATTTTAGCTTACCAATAATAACACCAATTTTGCAATTAAGATTTTTGTGCGCACAGGACATGAGAGTTCCCGTTGAATCATTTAGCACTGCCATTACCGCTATCTCTACATCCTGATTTTGTACACCACACATGAGTTGATGTTATGATAATAGCAATAAGCGCAAAAATGGTACAATTGATAGTTCGAATGGGAAGAGATGTTAGTGAAAGCCAATAGTTATAGAATAAAAATCAAGTTGGACGTAAATTCACATCCAACATGAGCAAATTCTAATTTTGAATAAATTTTGATACCCAAATGCCGAAAATGTACATAATTATGGTTAAAATAATAAAAAATATCCCACAAAAATAAGCTTTTAAGTACGCAAGTACAAACAAAAGTTCTACAATCAAAAAATATTAGCAATTTATGGAACACAATGAATTGAAAACCCAAAAAAAAAGAAAGAATAAGAAAATCTACAAATCAATACTCACTCCACGTCTTTTGAGCGCTTCTTCTAACAACTCAACAACATCATGATCAACAACACCTTCGCAGTTAAAACCTTTCGTCCATCTTATTAAAAATCCTTTTGTTAAGCCTAATTGTTTCAGTGGGAAAGAAAAAGTGAAACCTAATGGCAGTCGTTCATCTTGAAGTTTGTGTTCCTACAAATATAAAAGTCATTGAATGTTAACTTCCTCTAGACATTGAATTATATTAGCAAAAAGAGTTTACCTTGATGAAATTGGCCAAACACTCAGCAATGTGATCAAAGAGTTGTGAACCTGAACCAAGCATAATACTTTGTGGGATTGCATAGATCTTTGACTGCATTTCAAAATCATCGTCGCCTTTGAGGTGAATTAGAAGGACACGGAAGTTAGTTCCTCCTAAATCTAAAGCGAGAAATTTGCCGCGCTCTAAAAGAAATAAACAACAATAAAATAAGTAAACATGTTTACAGACATTAAAAAGTTTGTTGGATATACCTTTTCCATTTGGCAGATCTTGCACGTATGTGACAAAACATTTAATGTCAGCTTTTGCGTGTGTTTCTTTCTTGAGACCGAGCTGGATCTCTTTCAAGAATCTGGTCATAATCTCTCCAATCTTCTTGTCATCCAGAATCAACTCCTGACATGCATCGCGGATCTAAAAATAATTAAAGTGTCATTTATAAGGTCAATGACTCAAAATTTAAAATTTTTGCTTTCAAAAATGCTATTCACAATCTCATTTTAGACAGATTTTTAAGATGAAACATTTGTGCCTTAAAATCATCAATCTGTGCGATGAATCACGTTTGCCAAAAAAGCTTCAGAGACTGACACAAATTAAATACTTTTTTCGAGGTATTTTTAGAATATATTCTAAATCTATCGATCACTTGACTAATAATTAAATGCTAAGATCACCTGTTCAGTTGGTGAAAGATCAGTAAGTAGCTGCGACATCTAAACAATTTACTTCTTCTATATTAATTATTTATTATTTTTATTGAAATGTCTATTTCACGAAATTTTATTTTTTGCTGCTGATCAGTCCGATTTTTCTGTGTAAACTGAATTATATATATTCTTTTCTGCGTTGATTCCAATATTATATGCTTTTCACGAAGAAAAACAAAATTTTATTTTAGGGTAAGTGACTTATTTCTCTTGCTATTTTCGTACAATTAACAAAATGTTTGTTTTATGACGTAAAACTATATTAAAACAACAAATGTTATTGGTTCCTATTATAGAGCTTAATAATTTAATTTAATCCACACTATTTTGAACACTTAAAAGCTAGTTTATATAGTTAAAATAATTAAAAACTTTGGACAGAAATTTCACGAGAATATTTTACGCCAAATCACAAATACAATGTAGAAAATAAAGCGCAAAATAATTTAAATAATTTTTGATCGTTAAAAACTCAAATTTAATTTGACAGTTTAAAATAAAACTTTTTAACATTTGCATCAACAATCTTCTGAAGAAAGCAAAACAAAATTTTCATCCTAAAAGCTCTTGTTGATATTATCTTATGCATACTAAGCCAGACGATGATCATTTATTTGTGTAGCCGTAAGTCACATGCTTGAGAAGAGATGAAAAACATCAGTAGTTGTTTGTGATGAGTTTTTAAAAATTTTGCGTGTTAATAATGTCTCGTGTTTTCATCTAGACGTCACATTTCATTGATTGTATGCGATAGAAAAGAAAGATTAATGTAAATTTAGCCATATAATTAAATAAAATTATTCTCTCGCACGTAATGTTTTTGTATTTTTCGCTGTGAGAAATTAGCGATGAGCTAAATACATTCATTAGACATGATGAAATTGATCTTGAGAGATGTCAAGTGTTATTATGACTGATAAAGCTTTCATTTGGATTACAAATCATTTCTATTGAAGAAATTCTCATTGGAGAAATTTTTTTCGTGTCTATATTTGGGAAATGTCGAGAAAATCATGTGAGGAAAATTAATGGAATTTTTTGAAACTCATACGATATTTTTAAGGAACAAAGCCTGCAATAACTTATCAATTAAGAACTTATCACAGACGTATGATAAACATTTTTGCCCCAAATCACACTCTTTCACCGTATATGCTTATCATATATGGCTTGTGTCGGCTTAAAAACAATTTGAACGTTCTGTAACTCTATATTCATTAGCACAATTTGCATTGAACATTTAATTATATCATTAAATTTATTCAGCATTATTGGGAATTCTCAACAACTTTTTAAATTGTGCTCATGTCTAATACCGGTGTCACTGACATCTTTTATGAACAAAAAAAAAAATATTTGTACTTGATATTAGCAGTATTATTTCCTTTCTATTATGCCGCAAAATATTTATAAAAACAAGTTGTCGCTAGACCAAGCAGGTATGAAGCATGTTTTGTTAAGAGTGGTTCACAAATTAGGTGCGTTAAGAAATATTAAATTACTAATATAACTTTTAGGCATTGGTAAGTAAGGCCAGATTAACTTGGATGAAGACACTTAAGCCCTAGCCAAACTATATTAGATATCACAAGAAAACGACCCCCTTTATAACATACTGAGGTTTATTCATTGATCAAAGGTTAATGAGAAATAGCAAACTAAAGACAATATTGCTTGTTATTACGATTTAAAAATGCAATATGATCGAAAACATTTAAGTTTATGTATGTTTAAGTAAGCCTGTTGGACTTTGTACAGCAGCAAGTTGTCTTTTTTCGTAAAATAACGTCAAAAATTATTTGTCTATTCTTTATCAGCAAAGAATTTGATGGACAAGCCACATGCGCAGAATTTTTTGTACTCGAGACTGTTCCATAATTTTGGAGGCATGTCTGCTTACAACTGTTGCTACATGATAAGAAATAGTAAATAATGATAATCCAGATTCTCTTTGTAACTAGCTTCTCTCTCTTTAATTCATATGAGTGATGTGCTACATATGTGAGGCACAAATGAAGGCCAAACTAATTTTTTTCCTACGAGAAAAATGGAAATTTGTGAAGCTTTACAACGACGAGTGTAAGAGAGATTATATTTATTTTTTAAATGAATGACGTGATGAATTTCGCAAGTATAGCTGTAAAATAAATGAACAGACATGAAATTGGATTTTTTTAAATGCGCAAGCTTGAAAGTACTTTTGAAGAAAAGGAATCATTTATGAATGAAATATTTTTTTTTCTATAAATTGCACAGTATTGTCTGTACTGCTGTCTGTATTTTATTTACTGTTTATATTTTATTTAGACATATGGTCAAAAAGCTTAAAGTGATAAGACTTCAACAGACACTTGTTTTATTTATTATTGTTCTTAAAATTTTGTTTTATATACAAAAAACACGAGGTTTGTACGTCAAAAAAAAACTTCCTTTTAGCGATTGACGCGTGGCTTTTGACCCATTTTACAATCCTCAATCACATCCGCTACGTCATTATCAAAAAACAATCCAATCAAATTTCTTAGGAAAAAGAGATATACAAACTTGTTTGTCTTTTAATGGAGTTTAGTCTTTTTATGTTTGTGCAAAAAATTTACGTTTCTTTAGAAAAAATATTGGAGTCTCTTCTGGCTATTGATCGAGGGTTTTAAGCGCTTTTTTGTCAAAACTTTTTAAGAAACTCAATTTTTTTACAGCTTGAAATTAATTAGAATAGTTTAAAACCTTACGGCCTGTTTCACTAAAGTGGATTATCCTCGATTTCGGATTATCCACTTCAGTTTTTTGGAAATATCTCCAGACGCTTAAGGTTATTAAGAGATCTAATGTATGATCTAGTTAGAGTACTTTGCTACTTAAATTAACATATACTTAGAATTTTTACATCTTTATTAGTTTTAGAATTATAGCAAAAATCGAAGGTAATCTACTAGATTTGTATAGAAAATTGAATAATCCATAAATCTTAACGAAAAGCAAAAGTTTAAAGTAAACAGAAATTTAAGCCATTCTTCATTCTATTATAATCCAAAATTAGAAATACCACACCTTCCATAAAGTTTAAGATATTTACAAAAAACTGAAGTGGATAATCCGAAACCGAGGATAATCCACTTTAGTGAAACAGGCCGTTAGAGTTACTTATGATTTTTTGAATCTGTCAATAGGTTAGTAACTCGATTGAATAAGGTAAAAGTGAATTAATAAAGAGCCTTAAGTTTTAAAAAAATACTAAAAATAAAAGAGATATTACGGTACAGACATAGCAAGACTATGTATTACGCTTAGCAATATAAAAAATTGTTTTCCCAGTTGGTTTTTACGTATTACGCAAAAAAATAACACATTTCACCGTAGCAGCTACAGACATAGTTGTGCATTTGACTAGATTTGGTTGACTTGAGCTAAATACACCGATCATAAAGCTTTTAACTTGGAAGTAATCGAGAATTGAATATTATAATGCAAAAAAGTCGTGACTTTCCTTCTCATTGGAGGTCATTCATACAAAGGTATTTGACGTAGAAGCAGAAATAAATTTTTAAGCATACAACAGAACGAAAAACATTTTTTAATCACCCACTTATTTTTAATATTTTTTTTTCTTCATCAGCCGGACGAGATTCTTCTTGAATTTTAATCTCTGCTGTAGTCATTGCCAGTCGTGCCTCTTTTTTTACGTCGAATCAAACTTCATTTTGATTGGCTTATTTCTTAGGCACGACTGTCATATTTATACATCTACAGTTACACTCTACAAACTTTTAGGCACATTATATACATTTTTTTTTGCAATCCGAATGCTCATATAAATAAGTTCATTTCTCTATTTATATGTAAACACATTGACGAGTGCCGAAAACGAAATTTAAAAATATTTGCATAAATATCATCTTTATAACGTCTAAAAGCCTTTGTTAAACAAGAATCATACAGTTTGTGCTCTTGAAGGAATGAAAAAGAGGCAATTGAACTCATCGCACGCAAGAGAAAATTCTCAGCAGTGTAGTACACGTGTCATAGAAATGCCCTCTGAAGTGAATTTACCAAAACACAATCTTAATACGATGACATGTATATGTAGTTGTGCGTTTCCCGTTTTAGGAAGGAAATTTCCACGCGATTTTCTCCTCCACGAAAAACAGGCATAAGAAGAAGAAAATTTTCTCTTCGTGTTGGATGTCCAAAAAACATAGTTGTGTATGTGCGACTAACACATGTGCTAGACTTCAACATTGCCCTAAAATGAAAATGGAAAAGGCATCGATCGATTCATACTTGCATGACATTCAAAAGGAACAAACAGAATTTTTTCGCTTCTTCTTCTTCTGTACTGACTTTTTTCTGACGTAACTTAAGGTAAATTCAATGATTAAACTTTCAATTTCAAACTGTAATTGGAAGCTTGATTGTACCAATTATTTGAATTGAGAAATGTTGGCAAACCGGTTTTCACATAAAACGTAATTCGTTTTTACATCACACATGTCTTTTCCATAGATAAACACCGATTTGCAATTGCACCAATGGAATTTTTGATGAGAATATAAACATTTAATTCAAATCGAAAGTAGAATGTAGGTTCGAAACCCACTCAGACTAGTTTCTTTGGAGTTGAACCCGTGACAGTAAATGCGATGTATCAATTCATTCCACAGTCATTGACACTAGACTATTAGGGCACTTTTCTCACTATGTATCAAA